AACTAGCATTTTAACTGTAATGGTTATTTCAGACATTTTAAGTCAACTTGGGATCAAAATGTGTCATGGAAGTAGGGCTTTTTCTGGAGAAAGAAAAATAGAAATGGTTTAAATGCTAATTAAGCAATGAACACTTCTACTTTACTTGAATCAAAACAAAATGGTAATATTATATATGTTATGAATGAAAGTATACTACTAATGAAAGTTCCTAATATGAAATTGGGACTATGTTTGCATTCCTGTGTTCTTGAGCCTGTATTCATGCGGAGGTTTCCATCAGCAGATGCAGTTCTTGCTGTGTGCCTTCCTTAGAAACTTAGTCAATAAACTTAAGAAACATAGGGAATATTTCTGGCCCCATAAGTAATTCTTAGTAATAGTATTATATTACAAATTAATTATTGAAATAATTTTAAAACATCTACCCTTCTTTTTACACTTGATTTTACCTATATTCCCTTTCCATCTGCAATTGCATCTACTTCACACATGTAATACAAATTATTTACCATGTCATACCTGCATTACATTATTCTTTGTGTACCACTATAAGCCAAATAAACTTAAAATTTTCATCTAATAATATAGAGAGACTGTAGCCTCTTAAAGGTGAGCACCTTAAATTCTTATTCTTTCCTGCTCATATATGGGAAGTGCTGTGATGTGACATGTGTTTATCCAACGGTGGCAAAAGCAAAAAAGGCCTATTTAGGATCTGTCAGTAAATTACAATTCTTAATAGCAGCTTATTTTTCCAATTTCAAATAATAGAAGCTGTAAACAAAAAAGACTTGAAAATCCAAAGCTCATATGTGTGTGGTAATTAAGTACATTTCTATGATATAACAGGAATTTTTGTTCAGTTTCAGAAAACATTAATACTCCCTGGCCACGAAGACTGGATAAGAGGCATTGAATGGGCAGTCTGTGGTCAGTATGAAAGATGAATAAAGTGGAATACTGGTTTAACAACAGTACTACTGTTTTACTCCTCCAACAGATGGTTTTGATGCACTGTAGCACTTAAGCTCTTGTGGTTGTGAATATTGTTTCTGAGATGGTGGTACAAAGATTAAAAATCAACATAGAACTTTGTGTCCTGTTAAAATATAAGAGTTGTTGAACCAATACTACAGTTATATTTTAGTTATCAAAACTATGGCTACAGTAGGATTGATACAGAACACTCGTATCTTGTGTTTGCATCCCTCATTTTGTCTCACTTGCTTCAAGTATATTTATCTAACTAGTAGCTAAATGCAAACAATTAGGAGTTTTAGCAACTCGTCCTTTTCAATATGCAAATATCTGTATCTGAGTGAGGAAGAAGGAAGAGTTGGGCCCTTTTTCAAAGGGGGGAAAGAAGGGAGAAAGAGTGCTTTTCTTCTCACCCTTTTTTTCTTTTTTTTCTTTTAAGAATAGGAGATTAAGAGGAGAATCTATTCAGATGTTAACTAATGTCATGATATAAAACTGGGACGAGTGGCTGATACACCAGAAGGCTGCGTTGTCATTCAGTGAGACCTGGACAGGCTAGAGAGTTGGGCGGAGAGGAACCAAATGAAATTCAACAGGGGCAAGTGTAGGGCCCTGCACCTAGGGAGGAATAACCTCATGCACCAGTACAGGTTAGGGGTTGACCTGCTGGGAAGCAGCGCTGCAGAGAAGGACCTGGGAGTCCTGGTGGACAAGAAGCTCTCCATGAGCCAGCAATGTGCCCTTGTGGCCAAAAAGGCCAATGGTATCCTGGGGTGCTTTAAGACCGGCATGGCCAGCAGGTCAAGGGAGTTTATCTTCCCCCTCTGCTCTGCCCTGGTGAGGCCACATCTGGAATATTGTGTCCAGTTCTGGACTCCTCAGTTGAAGAAAGACAGGGAACTACTGGAGAGAGTCCAGCAAAGGGCTATAAGGATGATTAGGGGACTGGAGCATCTCTTGTCTGAGGAAAGGCTGAAAGAGCTGGGTCTGTTTAGTCTGGAGAAGAGAAGACTGAGAGGGCATCTCATCAACGCTCATAAATATCTAAAGGGTGAGTGTCAAAAGGATGGGGCCACACTCTTTTCAGTGGTGCCCAGTGACAGGACAAGGGGCAATGGGCACAAACTGGAACACAGGAAGTTCCATCTGAACATGAGGAAAAACTTCTTCACTTTGAGGGTGACCGAGCACTGGAACAGGCTGCCCAGAGAGGTTGTGGAGTCTCCTTCTCTAGAGATATTTGAAACCTGCCTGGACACAATCCTGTGCAACCTACTCTAGGTGATCCTGTTTTAGCAGGGAGGTTGGACTAGATGATCTCCAGAGGTCCCTTCTGATCCCTACCATTCTTTGAATCTCTGTAATCAAATAGTTCTCTCAATAGCAAAAATAAAGTAGAAAGAATTAGAGGATGCTACAGTCCTGAAGAAAGGAAAGGAGTTATTGAAGAGTATTGAGGCTGTCAAAATTTCAAGAGGGCCGTAGGGAATAAGGAAGTATATGTACAATATGTACAGTATTTCCCATGTCTTCTGTGTCTTATAAGCAGAAAAATGTCCATAGTCAGTGTGTTCTAAACTAGTGGAGAGTTTGAAATGGGAGACTAAGTTGATGTTGAAATAAAGCAGCAGTTTATGGTGCTGCGTACAATAGGAAAAATTAGGATAATGCTGTAGTACATGTGTGGAAATAGGGTAGCTTAGTCGTGGCACTGGTTGGAATGAAAACATGGCTCTAATCTCTTTTTTTTTTTTTTTTTTTTTTTTAAAAAACAAACCCAAACAAACCACAAATAGGTGAAGACCTTTTCTTAGCAAGCTGTGCTCAGGATTGTTTGATAAGAATTTGGAAAGTGTGTACAAAATCAAAGCAACTTCCAGAAAATGAAGATGATTCCATAAGACTGAAAGAGAATGTTTTTACTGTCAAAGGTAGGTAACAGCTGTAAAATTCTTTTGGAAAACTTCTCACTTTTGTATCTGTGTGTGGTTTTGTGGTGGCTAACAAGGCGATTACCATCTAATTTGTTTTACTTCTTGTATTAAAGGAGTCTGAGACCAGTTTGCATTATTTTTATTCAGCTATTAGAAGAAGTGGAGTTTTTGTTTTAAAGCCATGACTATGTAAAGGTAATGAAGTGTTACAAAAAGTGGTAAAGCAGTGAGAGAGCTTAATATCAACATGCATTGTTACGCATATTCCAAATGCAGTACATAGCCAGGAGATATATTTGTCTGTGGGAGATAAGCTGTTTTGCAGTTCTTCTCCAGTTTAATAATATACCTTTAATTTTCTTTCAAATTCAATGCAGTAAGAGGTGCTACTATTACTTAAACATTAGAAAAATACTGCAGATAACAGAGAAGTATGTGCAGGCTTATTTTCTGGTTATTTAACATACTGTTTGAGCACTGTAACATCAGAGGCTTGCAATGCTGACATTGTGGGGTAAATTGTTAGGCAACTTAAGTAATATAATGAAATTTTTATGATGTTATGTGTAAAAAGTGCTCATGCTACTTGCTGCAAATCCTGATTTATTGTTTGAAGTATCTTAATACTTGTATTTACAGTCATTTGGAGTTGTAAATATGCTCAAGTTAAGAGTAGGGGTAGAGGCAACGTCAAAGAGTTTATTTCAGAATTGCTTGAGAGTTCTCCAGGAATTCTGTGATACCACTCTGAGGCAATAGGCTGACCTCTTAGTGTCGATCTGGTACTCAGGGCTTGCGGTAAAGTAGGTTTTCAAGGAGCTGTTCAACGTCAATAGGCTGTTGAGCTATTGGTAGATGTTGAAAGCAGTTGATATTTTTCACTGAAGATATCAGAAATGACCTGGTCTTTCTTGGCTTTTAGAAAGAAATGTGCTTTTCTCTGATTTGTGGCAGATACTGATACAACATATGCAATTACTTTGGAGTCTGTATTGGCTGGTCATGAAAACTGGGTGTACGCAGTTCACTGGCAACCTTCATTTTCCAAAGGTAAAAAGATACCAAACACTTAGCAGTTATGTCAAGTGTTGTATACACACAGTACAGTCACGTGTCTTTTTATTGTGTTTGCTTGTCACTGTGGACTATGAAAATGTTTAAATTCTGCAAATGATATTTTATAAGTAATGGATGTTTTAGCTGAACATGCCACAGTAGCACATCTTATAGCACAGGCTCTGTCTGTCATTGTGTATTGCGTGATGCTCTTTCTTGTGTTTTGTTTAATGAATAAACTAAAATAACTGAGCAGTACTGGCTTTATTGTAATTGATTTCCTGTTTGTGGAATAAAAACTAGTTTAATCAGTATGAAATCATAGCTCTAATGTTTTACCTTGATACATGTATTTGAAATGTCTGTTCTTTGGAAGGTCAGCATTAACTCAAGAGCACACCTTTTTCTTGGACTAGAAAGGAACAAATAGCAACATTCAGAAGATTAATCTTCAGTCATCCATGCATTAACATAACATGCCAGGGATTCCTTGACCATCAGTTTTCTCTAGCATGTAGCTTTAAGGCATTAATGCAGACTCTCATTGAAAAAAGATGTTATTTACAGTTTAATTTTGCATCTTACCCTAGTATTTATCTTTCTTTTTAAATCCTTAAATTCTGACAGCCTTGTTTGTGATACTGATTTGCTGGTGCATGTCTGCCGGAAGTGTAAGGGAGGGAGATTCTTGATTTGACATGCTTGCACCATCAGAATGCCCTTGTGTATTTGTATTGGCAAAAGTACCTCTTTTCTGAGATGTTTTAAAGTTACTGATGCCAGATGATTTCACCAGTATAAAGTACAGCTTTTTTCCAGTGTATATACAACACTTGAAAAGTAGAGTGCAATTAGAATGTCAGAATACCTGTAGTGAAAGGCACAGGACTTGCTTTAGAAATATTGGCTTAGCTATCTTCTTTCGCTTTTTTTTTTAACCACCAATAAAAGATTTTGCCCGTTAAAGCAAGGTTTAAATATAGTCACTTCAGTCTTGCACTGCAATCTGAAAACCTGTCCTGTTAGACCATGAAGTTTTCCAGGTGTCTTACATTATGCTTCTGTATACGTGCAGCTGCTTGCATTCTGTGGCCTGCCCAATCTTGGGTTCGCCAAAATAGATTATTCTTCTTCAATAGAGGCAGACTGATCTGAGACACACATTCTCAATGCAGAATGTAGAAGGTTTGGTGTGACATAAGGTACTGCCTCAAGAGATGCCCACCAATGTCTCTGTTCTCAAGAAAGGCTCCTCAGCAATTCTAGGGTTTTCCCAACTGGGTGGTGAACTAATTTCCTCTTCCCCATTCTGACTGTGTTAGGCAGTTGTCTGGAGTGTTTCACTGCATTATGGGGAGTAGTCCTTACTGCTATATGTATTACAAGGTGCTAGAGTGTATTGAAGTCTGTAGTGAATCTAACACTTCAGTTGGGAAAAAAAACCCCAGTCAATACTGGCACAGATACTATTTTTTTTAAACTGGAACTCGCTCTGTAAAAACTAATTTGAGGAATATAACTGAGAACTGCTATGCAGTCTCTGAAGCTCTATCTTTTCCTCCAAATTACATTTGTTTCAAAGTCAATTTGGAGTAAACAGTGGAATGTGTGTTTTATGTTTCTTTTGAGAGATTATGGCTGAAAAATTACAATACCTCCTAATGAATGCCTACTGAGAAAGCAGAGCCTGTTAAGTCTGGCATTGAAGTGCTGCATTGCATGTCTCTGATGCTGAACAATTTCTTAGTGTGTTTGAATTTCAGTATGACCAAATTCTTTTAGAAAGTATTCTCACAGACTGTAGGGTAATCGTTTTCCTTGTACTGTAGATGGCAGCATGCAACAACCAATGAGGATATTGTCTGCATCAATGGACAAAACTGTGATCATCTGGGAACCTGATAAGGAGTCTGGAGTCTGGCTAGAACAGGCAAGTGTCAGTCTTTCTCACAATCTGTACTGTGTTCAGGTTGCATTTCCAGCATTGTGTGTGTACTGTAAGGAACAAAACATCTAAAATGCTAGGAGAGAAAGGCAAAAGCATTTTCTTGCAAAAATACTAATTCTGATGCTGTGTTGCAAGTAAAACTATATTTTTCAAAAATGATGTGATGTAGTATGACTTTTATTGTGTGTTTGCTTCCTTATTACCATATGGGGGAGCTAAAGGGAGTTTATGCTCACCTGACACTCATAGTATAGCAAGCCAGGTACTGCATAATAACACATACTGTGTACTCCTGCTAAGAAGAGGAAGAAACCATCCTGAATTATTTGTAGTTAATCCTTATGGAAATGTGCACCCGAACAGGTACTACAGAGCAGCTGACACACAATTCACAACCCTGGTTTTACTCATGGTAACTTGTTCATGGGCTTTGTCATTGGGTTTTTCTTTCATTTGAGTTAGATACTCATGTTTCACTGTAATATTTTGAATGCTGTTCTAATGTGGATCATCCTAAATAAACAAGTAGTACAACCAGATTTATCTAGTGCTTTGGTAGATGTCTTTGGTTTCAGTTGACCTGCTTTTCCAAATTGCAGTAGTTCAGCCAAAATTGTTTGTGTTGGGTTATGCCACCATTGTTTATGATCTTTTCTGTCACAAAGAAAGTTCTAATCCTCTCTTGGGAGAAAAAAAGAGAATTACGGTAGGTGGATTTAATTTTTCCCCTGTTCCATTGAAAAGTTTGTGTGCCCTTCTACTTGAAGCAGAAGTTAGTTCTTAATGGGGTGATCACAGACGGATGCCGTTTGTTGTCCCTGGTTGTGATGCTTAGTTGTGGCTAAATTTACAAGCTTTTAAAAATGGATTTTGCAGTAAAGATTGTTGCAAAGTGTTACTCTTTCTTTTTCCATTCTGTTTGCATTGGTTAGACGTCAGATGTGTGCAGCTTGCAGTTCAGATCAGATATTTTAACTGCAACAATCCTTTTTGCATTGAGGGAGGGAAACCTGAGCTGGAAGCCTGCAGCGAGGAAGGGCACAAGGGAAACATCCCATTTTCTGTCTTCCATTTTGATACGATGAACAAGAAGTCTTTACAAAATCATTGCCCAGCTCAGAGGTGAGACTAGAATTCTGCCTCTAGCATGGCATATCAAAGTTACTTCCATATGAGCTGTATTTTTTTGAATGAGTGCTAATAAAATGGACATACTAGTCCATGCTGCTATTTAGAATGAGGTGTAGATTTCATTGTGATCTTAAGCTGTATAGTAATGAGGGAATTTTTAAGAGTTTAGCTTGAAAGGAATTGTGTTCTTATCTCTTGAATAAAACATGGCAACGTAACTTTAATAATCTTTTAATGTAATTAAAAACTTGGAAGAGCACTAGAGACCAACTATAATGCACGTGTGCGTGCATGCATACATATGTGCACACTCATAAGGGAGGCACAAAACAGAGGCCAAAATATGCCACAGAAGGAGCATGGAGCAAGTTGCAGGGATTCATGGAGAAAAAGGGAAGTAGAAATATGGTAGTGAATATTGAAAATTAAGATTAAAAAATTAAAAATTTAAAATAATTAAAAAAGTAATTGGGAACCACTGTTCCTTTGGACCTTTTTTCCATTTTGTGCAACAGATGACAAGTAAACCATTACATACAACAGACTGGACTGAAACACAAAGATTAGGTTCTTGTCTCATCTAGTGTAGTGTTTTCTTTCCCCTGAGTGATTGAGCAAGATCCTATCCTGAGAAGTGTATGAAGGGAGGCTCCATTCATGTGACATGTAACTTTAATTCCCATGATATATGTGTGCTTAACTTTGCAATTGAAATGTTTTTTAAATGTATTTTTGTGTGTAATGTGAACTCTTGCCTATCGCTAAATTTTCATCTCATGAGATTAGGAGGAGTTCATATGAATGGAAGGCCATTTTCATGGATATTTCACTTCTGATCATTAATTTAGGTGCGGGTAGGTGAAGTCGGTGGCAATACCCTTGGATTTTTTGACTGCCAGTTTAGTCCAGATGGTTCAATGATTGTTGCTCATGCTTTTCATGGAGCGCTACACCTTTGGAAACAGGCTACAGTTAATAAGGTACATTGTTTTATTACTATTATTACTTATAAGTGTAATTCTTTTATGTCACTTGAGGTAAGTTCTATTGTTAATAGAAAAGTGTAACAGTACAATTTAAAGTGAATGATTGAATAGTCCTTCTCTTACTATAATATTCTGTAGGAGTCACTCCTGCACAGAAGAGGAGTCTCCCAGGCTCCAAAACCTGTTGCTTTCCTGTGGGAACCAGGAAGTCAGTGGAATAGACTGAACTCCTTTATGGTTGTGCTTTGTTCAGAAGTGGCAGCTGAACCAATAACAAAAGTTTATTTTAGACTAGAGCAATAAAGCAGTATTTGTGTCTCTTTGGCCACTCTGAGTTCTAATAATTTGCTGTTTTCAAATGTCATTTTTTTTCTTTTTTTTCTTAATAAGGACGTTGATACTTTTATTTTGGTTAGAATATGCCAATAAGTCAATTGAAAACTTCTTGCTTCTTTGGTGACTTTTTTGATAGAAAGAATGGACTCCAGAAGTTGTAATTTCAGGACATTTTAACAGTGTAGAAGATGTAAAGTGGGACCCAGAAGGAGAGTTTATCATCAGTGTTGGTTCTGATCAAACTACTAGACTCTTTGCTCCATGGAAAAGAAAACAAGAGACAGAGGTATGATCTTCAAAGATTTTGTGAGATTGGTAAAGAGAGCTTGTCTGTCCTGAGTTTGGAACAAGTCACCTGAATGTAACCCATACCTTAAATTTCCCCAAGCCATGATTCTGTTTAAAACTGCTTGTGTACGTGCTTGGTTTCGTCATCCAATATGTGTTGTTTTCACTTTAAAAATGACTGCTGTTTAATCCAGAGTTCACCTCTGGGTTACCTTCAGTAAGTGTTCTCCCAGGGTCTTAAAAACCAGGCTGTGCAGTAATTCAGGAGGAGAAATACATGGCTGATTCTAATAACCATCGATTGTCCTTGCTTAATGCTTGGCTAAGCACTGCTGCAGGTAATCATGAAGAAACTCAACTTTGGTTGTGTGTTTTGTAGGGTTTTTTTACACAATCTTAATCTAAGCAAAATTCTCACTATATTTCTTACGCTATTTTGTTTATGACTGTGACTGTTTTACCAGAATGATTATCTGAACTCCATGAGTGCAGTTGGTACCTGTGCAAGCAACTTTTCAGTAAGAATTATTCCTGAATAACTTGGTGTGTTCCAAAATAAGTCTAATTTTTGGGTTGGGGAAACCCTGTCTAGGAATGCAGAAGTTCCTATTTCTAGTTGCTCATGCATGTTCCTCATCTACAGATCCAGCTTTTTCTGACAGAACGGTACTAATGCTCCTGTTCAGGAAACTGGCAGAAGCTAGCTGATTGAAATCATGTAAGGCCCAGTGCAAGCTATGCTATTAGTTGTGGTAGGCAAAGGACAGCAATTACAATTGTCTCATCAAAGCTTCTGTAGTGCAGACCAGTAGAGGGTGTCTGATGTTTTTGGGAGAATGAATTTGGCATCAGTTCCTTGATTCCCTTCTTCCAGGCCACACAGAAGTGGTGGCAATCCCAGCTCAAGTGTTAAGCTTTGCCTTGTATTGTCAGAAGGGCATCTGCAGTTTCCTTCCCTGCCTCTTCCCCTAATCTCCAATCTGGAGGGTACAACAGCTCTGTGGAAAAGATAGTATGTTGGATTTGACATATGGAAACAAAGTCTAGGACTAGAATATGATCTAAGTTGGCAGCATTCAAAAAATGAGTTAATATGTTCTCTGAGACCTACTGAAGTACCACTCTTCATTATGTGTACTGCTTGCTAAATTTTTAACCTATTCTCTGAAAGAACTCGTCTTTGTATGACTTACCTGTACAGCTCTTCCTGCTGTCTCTGAAACTTTTGAATTAGTTGCTTTAGCAGAGTGATTGCAGTCTTGACATCTGAGCTTGGTGTGAACTGAATTATTGTACTTCCTCTTCCTGTTCTGACAAAAGAGCAGCCACCTGGCAAGGTGTAAATCCAAGTAGTGCCAATACTTGTTGCTGCATGGGGTGTGGGAGAAAGCTATTCTATCCTGTCAGTGGGGTGAAGTGGAGGGTTGAGATAGAAACAGGTCATTTGAGGGCATGTGTTCAGGACTTCGGAACCTCGAAAACCAGGTAGGTAGTTCTGCTGCTTATGAACTTAGATAATATAGGCTTTTGAAATGCCTTACTTTCTTTACTGCACTGAGTTTAATGTCTGAAAAATTACAACAGGTGACATCTAGTGTTTGTCTTAACAAGACACAATGGATGGTTCAGATATCTATGAAAAGTTAGTATTACAACTCAATATTCATGTTTTTCTCTATGAAAAGAGAACTGTTAAATGCAAATAATTATCCTGTCTTAAAAATCTCAATTCTGATATTGTACTGGGTTCAAATATCAGAAATGAGGGATAAAAATCAGCTTCGGTTTGTCATGCAAATTTGCACCCTGATTTTTCTGGAAGAAGCTTATTGCATGACTTATGCAGCCTGTTCTTTGTCTGTTTTGGGGTCTGGGGTTTTTGTCTTTTTTTCATTCGTGTTATGTGCTGTGTTCTAAAGTATGCAAAGATGTACCTAGTAAAGGGTAAGAAGGGTTTATTGCACCATATGCTTGTTTTTTGGGTTTCATTGGTTGTTGGTTTTTTAATAATTAATGCTTTTTTTAATTGGAAAATAGTCAATCTCTTGTGAAAACAGGAGATTTTGTAGGATCTCTCAAATATCCCATTCAGATTTTATTGGAAGCTTTGACATTCAAAACTCAATTGGATTTTTAGTGTGATATATGCGGTTTACAGTCAATGTAATGTCTTTCCTTATGTTTGTATGTCTAGTACAATATAAATTCTGTCTTGGCTACAGTTTTCCAGGCATTGTAACACTGAAGTAGTCCAAATTAATTCTAATTGATTAAATTAATTCTAATTCTGCTAGCTGTAAACTCAAAAGTGCACACTGTATTTTTCCACCTGAAGTATCATATAGGAGTAGTAGAAAATGAAACTTAATAAAAATCTTTTCATGAGAGTGTATTTGCTAGAAAACATTTTTTTTTTCATATGTAGAATAAGTTAAATTTTTAGAAAAGCAATTTAAAGAATATAATGGTTTTTTTGCTAATATTCTTTGCTTAGTGTGACTGTAGAACTAACTTGTCTAGTTTCTGGTCAGCTGTTAGTTCTGGTTTTCTTGGATTAATACTTGAAGCATAGATATGAATATTTCAGGAAACTAGAAAAAAATTAATACTTCAAATGAAAACACTTCTAAAATCATCAGGATTTTCCAGATGTTTTTCCTATAAGAAGCTATTTTGGTTTTGTCAGTTTTTTTGCAAAGCTTCTATTAAATGATCTCACTAAGATCAAGTATTTAAAGGAAGGGGGGAAGGAGGAACCTGTAGTCTGCTGACGGCAGTGGTGCTGTACTTTGTGAAAGATAGATGAAGGAAGCAAGGTAATTATTGCTGCCTTTCTTACATCTTTCAGAGCTAGAGTTTTGAAAGTAGTAAGTAGCATACAATCCTCCTTGTGCTTAAGCAAATGATGTCCTATTCCTGACTGTCTAGCATAAAGAAGTCACAGTAAACATGGTGTGCCCTTAGTAACAAAGGTAAGTGAATGCCTTAAATGTGTCTGTGCAGGGACACAGTTTACTGAATCGTTTGGCGGAAAAATAGGATTTAACTGATGTATGTGAGTGTACATCAGTTTTATGAATGTCAGTAGAAGGTTGCTATTAACTTTCCTTTTTGTTAATAAAGTCAGCACTTAAAGTACTAGTACTTTTTTGGAACTCAATCTTGCTGCTTCTCTGGTGAAGAATTGTGTTTTAACTGCATGTCTGTTCAGGTAACCTGGCATGAAATCGCAAGGCCTCAAGTACACGGATATGACATGCGTTGTCTGGCGATGGTTGGCCGGTTTCAGTTTGTGTCGGGAGCAGATGAAAAAGTGCTGCGAGTTTTTCGTGCTCCCAAGAATTTTATAGAAAATTTCAGTAACATCACTGGTATTCCAATGGAGAAGCTGTGCTCCCACGTAAGTGTGCTAAAGCAATGCTAAATGAAGACAGCCCTCTTTCACGTAAATAAAACTAATACTTTAGAAAATATCAAATTCCACTAAATGCCATGAAAAATGTTTTAATAGTTCTGAAACCTTAACCTTGTTTTTCCTTTCCCTTCTATTTGCTTCCACATGTGTTGTTTCATATGTATTTTCACTATGTTGTCTTATAAAACAGGTTGTATTTGAAACTAAACGACCTAGTATCTGAAGTGCAAAGAGTATGGGTAAATTTTAAATAAGTCAGACCAAGCAGTCTACTGTACATGTTTGGTGATTTGAAAGCAAACAACAAAGCCTGGGAATGTGCTTCTCCTTAATTTAAGGGTGTAGTAGTCTTGTCTAGGTGTAATTATTGTTGTGTGGTTATGCGGTGGTTTTTTTTTTTTAATTGTATGCTTGGAAATAGTGTAAAGCTTTCAGCACTGTTGTTAGTTGTTACATATAACTATTTATAAATATGTACTTGCTCATGCTTTATTTCTTCTTGACATTGATAACTTTCTTGAGGCCTTTACATTCCACTTCTTAGCGTCGATAAGTATACTTTCCTACTCTGTGGAAAGATAAGACTGCAGAGTTGTTGTTGTTGTCCTTTGTTTGCTCCCCGTTCACTTTAAAATCTAATTCTGTTTTTCTCTGCATTTTGTAGAGCAGACCTCTTTCAGGATAGCTCTCTCTGTACAGTGCCTTGCATGCTCTTTGCATTTCTGGCTCAAAAGCAGTGTTTTCTGTGCAGCTTCTCAGAGATGGATTAGCCTTTCCATTTCATTTAACAATTGAAACATCTGGGAAAGAAATCTATTCATTTTTAATAGCAAGAAGTTACATAAGTAACTGTTTAGCACTTTAATTCCGTAAAACTTTGTAAGCATTTGCGTTAATGACATTGTGCAAATAACATTGTGCTTTTATAATGCTGGCAGATGTCATTATTTTACTTCTATGTAGACTTTCCTTATCAGCTCTTCCTTTGAGTGCTATTTTTTGATTCATAATATCACAAAGTGTTTCACATGAGCTTTGTTTAAAGAGAAAGACTTTATGAGCTCTAATGATATGGCTACTTTTAAATAGCTTTATTGAAATTGCTCTTTTTTTTCTGTTAAAAAGGGTAAGCTTTTTCTTCATTTAGCTCAAATGCCTTCACCAAAAAAGTACTTAAAACCAAAAAAGCTAGCTTTATATTCACAAAGGGTTGAATAGGATTATATTCAGTTCAAATCCATGGGAATTGTATTATACTTTGGGTTGTAACGAAGAACTATTTTTGTTTTAGAGGCCTTAGACTGGTGTGTGTGTCTTATACATTTTTCTCATCAAATTGTGAACTTTTAAATAAGTAACATAGTGTTTTAAGCTGTCACCTAAATTATTAATCCAATTCTGTAAAGTAGTCTTTCTTTGAACTTTTCAGACACCAAGGAAGGGGTTTTACGGCTATTAAATCTAATACTTTTCCATCTCTGTACAAAGGGACCCAAGTTCATTTACCCTTTCTAAATTTTGGCTTTTTCCCCCATACTTTTATGGAAGTATTTTCTGTCTGATGATTTGTCTTTCCTCTGTGCTGCTGTAAACACCACGTACTCCAGCCGCATCTCTGTGCTATGTACTGGGTTGTGTTTGAAACTGTAGGCACAGGCACTCACCCTCTGCCTCCTTTTCCAAAATGCTGCTTTATAATAGAATCACAGAATGGTTTGGGTTGGAAGGGACTTTAAAGACCATCTAGTTCCAACCCCCCTGCCATGGGCAGGGACACCCTCCACTAGACCACATT